GTGCCAAGGGCTTCCCCCGCGGAAGGGAGCCGGGAGGACCTTCCTCGGCCCGGGCCGGGGGCTGAGGAGGGACGAGGCCTGCAGAGTCCTGCCTGCTCAGTGCGTCCTCAGGGGCGGGCTCCGTCCGAGAGTTCCGTGGCTGTGACCGGCCGCACGTGGCCTTTTATTTGCTTTCACACTACGCGGTCGACGAGTCGTGGCCGCGGTCCAAATGGCTCATTCCTTTTATGTCTATGGGCAGCTCCAGTAGATAATTTAGCTCGCTCAGTGGACCCCCGGCCAGCGTGGGTGTTTACCCAGCTCGCGTGGCCTGCGCTGACTGACAGGTCTGCACCCGGAGATCCCTGTCGATTCCAGCGTGAGCCTTGAATGCTGCGTGTGCTCTCAAGCTCTTCCTTATTATTTTTATTGATGTCAGAGAGGAAGGGAGGAGAGAGAAACATCAATGATGAGAGAATCACGGACCAACTGCCTCCTGCACGCCCCACACTGGGATGGAGCCCGCAACCTGGGCCTGTGCCCTGACCTCCTGGCTCAACCACTGAGCCATGCTGGCCGGGCCCTAGCAATCTTGTCTTTTTTAAAAAAGAATATATTTTATTAATTTTTTACAGAGGAAGGGAGAGGGATAGAGAGTTAGAAACATCGATGAGGGAGAAACATCGATCAGCTGCCTCCTGCACACTCCCTACTGGGGATGTGCCCGCAACCAAGGTACACGCCCTTGACCGGAATCAAACCCGGGACCCTTCAGTCTGCAGGCTGCCGCTCTATCCACTGAGCCGCACCGGTCAGGGCAGTCTTGTCTTTATGTAAAGATAAGAATGTCTTTTTAAGAAAACGCTCACCTGAGGATGGGTATATATATGTATTTAGTGTGTAGAAAAGTTAATGACGTCGAACAGCATGGTGACATTTACCCGCAGGAAACAGGAGCTGGAGGGGAAAGAACCGCAGGGCCCGGGACCCTGAGCCGGTTCCTAGTCTCCTCGTGACGTCAGGGGTGTTGGCGAGTCTCCGCCCCAGCGGATTCGTGGTTCTCTCCGCTGCCACTGAGATCGTGAGGGGTTTTCCGGGGGTGATGGCCCGAGCTCTGCACCCCTCCCTCCTCTGGGGAGGCCCTGACCCCAGCACCTCACAATGTGCTGTTTTGGAGATGGGCCTTTAGAGGTGAGCTAGTTGACCGAGGTCACCAGTGAGCCCTGATCCGCGCTGCTGGTGTCCTTAGGAGAGGACGTTAGGACACAGGCGGGCACAGAGGGGGAGCAGGGGGAGAGACGGGGACCGGGCGGCGTCTGCACATCGGAGAGAGGCCCGCCTGGTCTCACCTGGCCCTCAGACTCGGGTAGTGTCCGGCCGAGAGAAAGCCCATCCTGTTAGCTCGGTGCCCAGCCTGTGGCCGCCCTCCAGTCACACCCCGGGGAGGGGAATGAAAGTGATGGACAAACGGCTCGTATTTTTTTTTTAAACGAATCACGTGCTGGGCACGGTTTCACCAGCGATTGCCAGGCAGCCCGCCCCCTGTCTGCGCTGGCGGGGCCGCGGGGTCCCACGGGGTCTGGGGTCCCAGCAGCAGGAGGGAGGCCGGAGGATTTACGGGGTCATTGCAGGGTCACTGACTGCTTTCACACAGAAGACGCAGGGATGCCCGTGTGTATAGTTAACAAATATTTGTATTGATTTCAGAGGAGGAGGAGAGGGAGGGAGCTAGAAACATCCATGATGAGAGGGAATCATGGATAGGCTGCCTCCTGCAGGCCGGCTGGGCGGACATGCCCAGGTACGAACCGGAAGGTGGGGAGAGCCCTCTGATGAGCAGGTCCGGGCCAGCCTGTTTGGGTGCGGGAGGGAAGGGGAGGGGAGGGGAGGGGCCCTGCGTGCCGGTGTATCGGACCCGTGTGGAGGGTCCCAGCACCGGGGGCGGGGGGTGGGGTGGGGCTGGTGAGGATTCCGTGCTCGTGCACAGCTGTTACTTCCACTCCTGTCCTGGCACCGTGACCTCCGACCCTCCCCGGGCCCTGGCCCTCCCGCTGGGGGGGCGGTGCTGGTGAATGTATCACAGCTCAGTGGTGGTTTGGTGAGAATTCCCACAACCGCACCAAGCGCTCTGCGCCCTGAGCCCCCGCTCTGCACTCCTCCCTGGCAGGGCCCTGGTCTGGGTTCCCAGGGAGTCAGGGCTCAGCCCCCTGGGCGGGCGCAGGAGGG